AGAGAGAGGAGGGAAGAGAGAAAGGCAGAGAACGAGGAGACTCAATTCTCGAGTGTTCTGTTGCTATTAAATGTTGTCATTAAGGTTCGCAGAGGCCCATATCAGTTAAGGGTTTGGGTAGGGAAATAAAAAGCTGCTTGCATATTGAAAAAAAGGAACGTCCCAAATGTGTTTACTGCAGAGAAGCCGTCTCCCGCGGGCAGCAATGGCAGTTCTGAAGATCCACTGAGGTACAGGAGGCTTGTGAATGGATTAAGACCTGCTCCCCCCACCCCCGCAGAGTGGGCACACACGTTACTGTTTGCACGAGACTTGGGATCCGAGGATCAGCAGGTCGAAGACTGGGGCAGCGGCAAGGCCCTCTCGTTGGCTCGACCCCCGTTCATGTGCGCATAAGGCTGTCTCTCATCGAAGCTGGCGCGGAGAACCAGCACTCCAGGGCCTGGGCCGTTCTCGGCCTTGTGTCCTGAGTGTCTATCAGGCAGTGGCAGGGAGGCTGAGGAGGCCGAAGGGTCCAGGGGGACGCTCTCCATGTTCTCGGGCTCCAGCTCCAGCTCCTCCGGCTCGGGTGGCTTGTTCTCCTCGCTGTAGTAGAAGGAGACCTCTCGAAAGCCGGGCTCCATCTCGTCCTTGATGCTGCTGATGATCTCCAGGAAGGAAGGCCGCATCTTGGGGTTGTACTGCCAGCACATGCGCATCAGTTCAAATCTAATGGGGAAGAAGGGCAGAAGGTGAGCCGACTGGGAAAGGCCTGCGGCCACGGAGCCCAGGAGCCTCTTTCTGAGGTTCTCGCCTCAGAACAGCTGTGCTGCCTTTCTGCAGCTCTGCTTTTGCATCTCCATGGCCCTGGCAGCCTTTGAGTTCTCCTGTCTCAACTTTACATTTACCTTGCCCAGAACCCAGGACCAGCTATGGTACTATGCTCAAACTCACTTCTGGGATGCACCAATCTTGGTTCACACAGAGTCCACCATGATAGGTTATATTAAATGGTGGCCGTGTTAAGAAATAAAATCACCTATTTTCTGATTGAAGCCCTTTTTGTAGACAGGCATTAAATGTGGCTCTAGAATCCGAATCAGGAAACCTCTATTTCCACTAATGAGGATCACAGCTTCCCTGACAGAGATCATTCTCTGCCACCTATGCTATTTTTAAGTTTCCTCCTGGCACTACGGTGCCCCTGGCATAGGGCCTGAGGAAGGAGGCAGCAGGAGTGCCAGACAGAAGAAGGAGCACACACTGCAAGCTTGTTGTTTCAAGCCTGCACCTGACTGTTGCATGCCCGTGAGGGCAGAGCCCTGCCCCCAAGATCCTGGGCACCCTGAAGCAGAGTCCTAATGGATACCTCAAACCAGATGCCAACAAGCCACTGAGGGACAGTCCCCTTCACAAGCAAGGACGAAGTGAGAACAGAGCGTAAAGCCCATGCTACATCTCCATCACTCCTGCTGGACCATGAACCTCACTGCAAAGTCTAAGTCATGGGCCAGAGGCCATACTTGACAGAAGAAAGAGGAAGGCTGCTACTCTAGTACAGACACTGCCCCAACCAGGAAAGGACTGGGCTTTGACAGATGGACAGAACAGAGAGAGAGAAAGCAAGCACACGGGTGGCCATGATTCTGAGCAGGGACCAAAGCACTTTCCAAAACCTTTATTTTTGCCAGGAATGATAGGCTTTACTTTAAAACTCCTGTCCCAACAGATGCTTTACACTAAAAAAATTACCAAAGGGAACTATGTATAGGCAGGAAGCTCAAAGCACCCCAGTTGGCCTCTAGCATTCTGTTAGGCTGACCAGTGGCCCACCAGACCACCTGTTTACAATGGGCCTTAGAATCCCAGGAAGGAAAACTCCATGCAACAGTGGCCCATGTTAGGTATAAAGTTACCTGCAAAAAGAGTGGCTCCCCTGACCACTGGTCAACTTCCTCAGAAGCTCTGGGGTCAAGTCAGGTCAGGTGGAGGGCAGGGGCCTTAAGGGAGGGTGGGAAGCGAAGATGGAGAGCCATCCAGAATTAAGCATTCTAGAGGTCCAGAGGTCAGCAAATTATTGTCAAGCTAAAGGCAGCCAGCTGCCTGTTTTTGTAAGTTAAGTTTCATTGGAGCAGAGCTGGGCTCATTTGCTTACACATCACTATGGCTGTTTTTAAGCTCCCACTGCAAGGTTAAGTAATTGGAATAGAGGTTGTTTGGCCTGTAGACCTAAAATATTTACTATCTGGTCCTTGCAAAAGTGTGGCCAACACCTGCTCCAGAAGAAAAAGAATGGGATCAAAGACAAGGCCAACTAGTTATTTTCAGTGGCGCCAAGCGACTGATCCTGGTGTTGCATGCCAGGTTGCAGGCAGGTAGTAAGAGTTTCGTGCATGGTGCTGGAGAGATGGTTCAGTGGATAAGAACACTAGCTGCTCTGGCAGATGACCCGGGTTCAATTCCCAGCACCCACACAGTGTCTAACAACTGACTGTAACTCCAGTCCCAGGGGAATCTGACAGCATTTTCTGACCTCTGCAGGCATTGCATGACATGGGTACACTTATAGACATGTAGGCAATATACTCACACATAAAAAAATAATAAAATATTTTAAAAGTTTTGTACATGGAGGCTGCATTTGTTTTTGAGAATCAGAGTTGTTTTTTTTTTTCTTCCCACTTTCTTCTTTTTAAAAAATTATTTATTTAATAACCACACAATCAGAAGCCCAATTCAGATGAGGGTCAGATGTTTTCAGGCTTTCTCCTAAGGTCTGAATCCCTCCAGGAACAATTTTGGCCTCAGGAATTTGGGGGTTGGACTGGCCTGGGTGCCTGGCCCAGGAAAGATGCTAGTCTAGGGCAACTGGTGGCCGTGCCACCCAGAGATGCAAAGGCAGATGGGGCAAGAAAAGGCCCCAAGGACTCCTGGGGACTGCACTGAGGAGCTGGCTTGGTCTGGATGCAAAGGATCAGGAAGAGGAAAGGTCAGCCCCCGTGTTGCAGAAAGAGGCTGGCAGTGGTGCAGGCCCAGGGAAGCAGAGGGAGGTGAGGGCGGGGCCAGGCCCAGAAGCAGTGCTCCTGGGGCCCAAAGAAGGCACTATGTTGGTCGGATGAAAAGGATCAGGAAGCAGTATTGGTTCCCCAGGTGTCTGGGGACCCAAGACAAGGAATGGGGCAAGGCCCTAACTCGGAGGAGGGAACGGGCAACGGAGATGGGAGAGTGAATAAGGCTAGGGGAGTCAAGGCTGGAGGGCTTTGGACTTACCCGGAGAGAGGCCTACGGGCAGGAGAGAGGCCTGAAGTGGGTGGTGCAGGACGAGGGAAGCAGAGCAGAGATGGTGCCTTTTATTATAACATTCCCTCATTTCAGACAAAAGGAAAAAGTACCAACAAAACATTTGATAATTTATCCAAGGTCACAAAACTAGTGAAAATGGAGCAGGGGTGTGGTTCTCTGTCAAACAGCATGGCTATACTTCAGTCACCTGAGCCAGAGTAACCATGGTCCCCCAAGGAGATGATCCTTCCCTGACTTTCCAGATAGTCAAGAGCTCACAGAAGGGTTTGGTTTGCATCGATAGCCTGGCAGCTAGTGTGTTCTCCTGTTCTGGTCAGGTGGTAAACAGGCCTGCCTTCCCATATCCCTGTCATTTTCCAAAAAAATAATTACAATGGGTTGTAAATACAAGGAACTCATCTCTATGGCTAGGCTGCAGTTTCTTCTCTGGCTGACTGGCTTATCCCTGAGAAGTGCAACTGGGGCCAAGAACACAAGATGTGTCTGGCTCCATGCCCTGTGGCCAGCGGTAGGGGGTGGGGGGTACTGAAGAGGTGCCACTGGCGGGGCAGTGGTGCGGTGACATCAGCACAAACAAGCCATGTGATGCCTCTTTTAAATCATTCCAGAGTCACAGGCCTTCCAGTGCTGCCCATAAAAGGAAGCATTTTTTGTTCTACTGATTCAAATCCTTGTTTTTACTCTTTCCACAAGAAAACACTCCAGTAGACTCTAGAAGGATTAATAAGCTGATAAAATGCTTCTTTTAAAAAGCACATTTTAAACCACTGGTCAGCTCTAGTGAGTTGGAAATGTAATTTACAGAATGTGCTCCTCTTTAAGGGTGTACACACCCAGTTCTCCCCTCGGGGCAGGGACAGGCTTAAGTGAAAGTCCTTCCCTGTTGGGAAACAGCCATGGAGAAAGCTCTAGCCCAGGTGTAAATACATACTAGAGCCCCAACTTTCTCTTGGCCCTTGAATGCCCCTTCTCCCCACGGTCCTTAACTGGACAGGCTATAAACTATGTGGGATGTCGGCAAGTAGAGATACAATCAACAGCTCATGCCTGGAGAGTTCCTGCTGCTGAATGCTACTACTGCCTCAGCCAGTGTTTCTCTTAGCATAGACTAGACCCTGGGATGATTGTGCAGGGCTGAGTAGATCTCCTTCTAGCAGCTCCCAGTAGCCAGGACTGTCTTTTTCCTAAAAAAAATTATTTATTTATATTTATTTATTCATGTTTATGAGTGTTTTGCCTGTATGCATGTAAGTGCGCTGGTGCTGTGCAAAGCCCGCAGAAGCCAGAAGAGGGTGTCAGATCTCCTGGAATTGGAGTTACAGTTGTTAGCCATCACGTGAGTGCTGGGAACTGAACCCAGGACCTCTGGAAGAGTAGCCAGTGCTCTTACTCACTGAGCCATCTCTCCAGCCCCAGTCAGGGCTGTCTTAAGAGCCACTTCCAGCCAGGACCTGCAGGTGCTGAAGCAAAGCCCATACATGACTGTCCTGCCAGTTTGGGATCTTATTCAAGCATTTGATCTCCATAAAACCAGATCAAGAGTCCCAGCAACTTGAGAAAGGAAAACCAGTGCCTGAAAAATGCAAAAGCACTCAGATTCTACTAACTAACTGTGTCTCAGCTGCACCTGAGCTAGTGACTCTCTGGGCTAAGTTCAAGTTCTTTCCTGAATCCTGCATCTTGAAGACTAGGCATGTCTTCAAGCTGAGGAAATATTATTATTGGTTCTGCACCTAAATTTTAATGGCTGAGCTCAAACCACTGTCCTAGCCCTTATTCTGCAGTATTGGGGATGGAACCTGCTCCAGGGTCTCCAGGGTCCATGAATCCCAGGCCCACTCTTTACTGGCCTCTATGATTTCAACAGGCAGCACCTTACCAGAGGGTTCACTGACATTTGTGGCCAAGGTACTGAAATCCAGTGGTAAGAGAGAGTTAAAAATGGGCTCTGTTTGCAATTTAAATATGGATGTGGCAGAGAACTGGTGTGGATCCAATCTCATAGTACTTCCTAAATCAATTCAGACTGAATCATGGCACTGAGACTCAGGCTGAATATTCCAGGGCTTGAATGGCAGTCTTTCCTCTAAAGCTAGAACACTTTATGGCACCTAAGGCTGGATCTTTGGCTACTCCTGATGCAACCTGATTCACATACAGAAATAGCCAGAGGTCCCAGCATGGCCACGGACGGCTATTCCCTCTTCAGAACCACACAATGGAAATCCTTCCTCTACATGTGAGACCTAACAGGTTTTAGACAACTTCCAAAGGCTCAGGAACTCTCCTTGGATACAGGGAGCCCATGTTTTCATTTACTATAACAAAAGAACCCTTTCCCAGAACACTTCTTCCTCCCATCAGCTCCTCAGTAAATTCAGGACACCAAAGACACTCCCTATGAAGCCAGCTCGCCTCCCTTCACTCTGTTCTTTTCTTAGAAAGGAGACAAATCTGCCAAGGGGGTTCTGGATAGCAAAGCAGAAATGCCTCCTGAATTAAACATTTCATATCCAAGAGCAACCTCTGTGTTTAAACTTCTTCCTCATGCTATGCTGGGAACAGGAAGTCCACTGCCTTTCCCACAGCAGGTGGCTGCTTCCCAGGCATATTAAATTCATATGAAAACTCTAGAGTCATCTGGAAATGGATCAACCTCAGGAATCCATTTCTGAGACAAAGATTTACTCCAGTTGAAAAGACAGCACAAAAAACAATACCTTTCCTGTGACCAGCCCCAAAACAGGAACAAAACTCGTATCTGTTCTTTTGAACTCATTCTAAGCTTGTGAAATAAGACTGATTCTAGTATCAAATCTAGGCTGGTGCCCCTTTATGCACATTTAGGGGTATCCATGTTTATAGTCTATCACTTAAACTTTGGCTCTAAATGATGATTTCTTTCTTACAGTGGGCTGGCTGATAAATCCTCTCTTTTTTTTTCCTCGTCTTTTTGAAACAGGGTCTCCAGCTGGTGTGGAACTCATATGTACACCAGGCTGGTCTTGAACTCACAGAGATTGGCCTGCCTCTACTTCCTGAGTGTTGGGACTAAAGGCGTGTGCCACCATGCCTGGCCTAGTGGGCTGGTTTCTTACAATGGGCAGCATTCATAATGCAGCTGCAGTTTGGGTCCCAGTAAATCTGTAGGGGATGTTGTGGGTATGTATGGACAGAGGGAGCCAGTATCTAGGACCTGTAGAGCTTCTCTGAGTAGCTCCCTCCTGCACTGTGTAAGCCCAGGATGGTGGCAGCTGTGGAGTTCCTTCTGAGGTCAGCTCAGAAAGGATACTGTGGCAGCCACCCTGCTTGCAGATGACTGGCTCTGGAGCAGGGCAGGTGATGTAAAGGCTGATAGGCTCCATATGGCCTGCTTCCTGACTGATTTTGTAAAGTACTCCCAACTAAGATGGTTTTTATACTTGTAAACAGGGTTAAAAAAAATCAAAGTAAGAGTATTTTATGTCAAGGAAATGGGATAAATATAAATTTCAATATAAAAAAGTAGAGTTTTAGCTGAGCATGGTGACACATACCTGTAATCCCAGCACTAGGGAAGCCTGAAGCAATTAAGATTACCATAAGAACCAGGTCAGCCTGGGCTACATGTACTGTCTCAAAGGCCCCCCCCCGACACTTTCTCTCTGTGGCTGCTTTTTATCACCATGGCAGAGCTGAAGGTTTGCGATGAGCACATGGCTCACTGCACTACAGACATTCACTCTCCAACCTATCAGAGAACTCCCTCAGTACTAAGGGGAAGTTCATGGAGAAGCTATGGCCTCACATGGCACACAAACACATTGGTGTCCCCCTGGCCCCAGAACTGAACCTGCCCACCACTATGAGTCTTTAAATGTCCATAGCCCCTCATGAGAGCTCAGCAGCAGTCTTCTCAGTCTTTCAGATGATACTTGTTTTTAACTAAATTCTGAGTACAGGTAGGGAGAAGGGACATTTCATGCAAAAAAAAAAAAAAAAAAAATCAAGTGTCCTTTTAAGTTTTCTAACTAGTGGAGTTCTGGGAGGCTTCACTGGGAAGTCTAACCGGAGATCCAGGAGATCAAGTGCACCTCTGTCTGTATGGACTACCTTCTGAGAAGCTCCCATTACTAGGCTTTACCTTGTGGGCCCAAGACTATGCCCTGGTCCAGACTACACACTGATTCCCTAGTACTGACCTATGCTCAGAGAACCAACAAACACACTTGTTGAATTAACACTACTGTGGTTAGTACTCTGGCATCCTCTTTGTACCCTTCTTTAATCCATTCAAGGGGTCCATTGGATGGACTAGACTTTGGCTGGACCAATGTTCACAAGCTACAAATAGGGAGCAAAACATCTATCAAATATACTTCTGCAGCACAGGGTGCTAGAGCTAGGGACTCCTATTAGGATTCAGTCTCAGGAGCAATATACATAGTGCTTTGGGATAAAAATAAGACCTTGATTTACTAATGGGACCATGGTTTGTGTTTCTAAGGCTGTGGATTCTAAGATGACCCTAATGGGCATAATCATCCTCAAGTCTTCTTGCCTGGGTGTGGGTAGGATTTATGAATAGGATAGGATGCTTCACTGCTTTACTTAGGCTGCTCCATCAGTTGAAGCAGTTGCTCAAATGAGAGACTATTCTGGGTAGATCTGACTAAACAAGCAAAGACAGGAGAGGTAGTACAGAGGCTTCTGCTTGGCCTAGGAGCAGTAAGCTGCTGTGTTGTAAGGGCAGCACATGGAAGAAGTGGAGTGGCCACAGTCTGCAGGGTCTCAAAACTGTCCCCAGCTGACCTCAGTCTTATAAATGCAAGGGACTAACTCTTGCCAACCCCCTGAAGGAGCCTCATATGGGACTGCAGCCCTGCTGACACCCAGATTTCAGCAACATGAGATCCTAAGCAGGGTTGCTGGCATTTCTGGCTAGGGGTGCCTCAATGTGCCCACAAGCACCTGACTCCCATCTTTGCATCATCTGACCACCCTGGGGTTCCACCAGAGTCTAAGGAAAGGAAGGCAAGGGGTGGGTAGATATGAGGGTCTTTTGTGTAGATACAAAGACAATCTGACAATTCCCCTGGGATCCTTTTAGAAGTGAAGCTGAATCTGTCCTGAAAAGCATTTCTAGAATACTCTTGTACTGGTCTTGACATACCAATGGGGGTGTACCTTCTAGGATCCAGAAGATTAGCTGAGTCCTGCCTTGAGATGCATAAATCAAAAACAAGTCCACTCCACTCCCAACCTGCACCTGATAAGCTAAGCAGAATACCATTTCATCTTCCTTGGGGCCTCATTCCAGGGATGACCATCTTCCCACTCCAAGCAGCTCTGACCTCTCCTGAGCCACCACCACTGAACATCAAAGCAAGACTCAAGAGGGGGTGATATAATCTGGATGCTGAACGCCCCACAAAGGGCCCTATGTTAAAGGCTTGGTCTCCAGCTTGGCACTACTGGGGAACTTTTAAGAGGTGGAGCCTAATGGGAAGTCTTCAGGTTATTGGGAGCACGCTTCAAAGGGACTGTGGGAATATAGCCTCTTTCACTTTCGAGATACACTCTTCCCACCATGATGTGCTACCTCACCACAAAAACAATGGAGCCCAGTGACTCTGAACAGAAACCTCCCAAACTGTGAGCCAATGTAAACCTTTTTTTCTTTGTAAGATGATTATCTTAGGGAGTTTCTCTAAGGAGTGTTGAGCACTGAGGCCTATGAGGCACCACTGACAACTCTCAGGAATTAACTGCTGCAAGATGTTCTTTCACCACAAGTGGGGCTAGGCAACAAGTTCACCAACCCACTAAGGTGTGCCTGGGGCTGTGTCTGCACAGGGCGGAGCTCAACCTTGTTCTAGGTCCATGCAACTCACAGAGCCAAAGCTAAGAGCAGATGGTTTGTGATGTCCTGTTGGGACTATCTGAGGTTCAGCCTACATGATGCATGAGTGAGTCTTGACCACAGAGCTCTGTGTGAATCAGGTGCACAGATTTCTCAGGGCTGCTAATGGCTAGGGAGAAGCTCTTGAATCTGGCTTAAGAGTAGCAACTATTGTCTTAATGCCTTTTTCTTTTTAATCTTAAATCTTGAATGTAAAAGATGAGCCAGGATTACTATGGGCACATATTTCATAGAGAGTGGGCCTGAGAAACTCCAGTGCAAAGTGCAAATTAGCATTGGAGGACTAAGGAACGTGGGGTGGGATTAAGGTGATGGACAAAGGCACAGATCCTACAAACTCATTTCCTCCCAAGGACAGATAAGCCCTCTTCTAATTGTCTCCCATACCCACAGCAAGAGAGAGACCAGTTCCTGGAATTATTAATCTTAAGTGACCCAGGAAATACATACAGCATGTCGGGGCAGTTGTCCGGTTTGTCCAGAAGGCCACCCTCCATGACGAAGCGAAGGACTTGCTCATTGGACAAGCCTTGGTATGGCTGCTCAGCCAATGTGGCAATCTCCCAGAGGACGACACCAAAGGACCTATGGGACAAAAGGAATGTAAGAATCCTGGAAAAGATGGTTAAGACCATGTGCCCCCCCACTTGCTAACACTTCTCCAACCCTGGGTGTTGAAAATGTGTCCTCAATGTAGTGACAGTGCTTTGCAGACGTCAAGCCAGCTACTTGGGATACCTGGTTTTCTTGTCCCGGCTAACACTCCCTGGAGAGCTACTAAAACCTGGTAGCATGGCTGAGGAAGCTGAGGCTAGGGAGCTTCCAGCATCCCCCACAAAATTAGAAGTACCTGATCTAGATCATACAAGTTCAGTGCCTGGTCCCAGCCATTACTTGGTGGTTGGTATAACCCAAACTTGCTTTAGCTCAATATAAAATGCAGATACCCAGGGCCTAGAGCCTGACCGCTGACTTGGGGCAACTAAATATCTTAACAATCTCCTTATGGGATTCTTCTAATCATAGTTTGGGAATATCTATGCGAATGTTTCTCAACACGGCTGCAAAGGAGACTCTCACAGGAGTTTTTTAAAAAACAGATGGATGCCTGGGCTCCCCAAAGCAGCTGTGATGTGACAGGTCTGGGGTGGGGACCTGGGCCTTCGAACATCTAAAAGTTCTGTAGTGATCTTGACTTGGGTCAAGGGAGAGGAAAACCTCTGACCCCACAGAATTCAGGAGCTGCTGGCTGAGAAGGCCTGTGTTGGCACATGGGCCATGTCACAAGGACCAAGAATTCTTTTGCCCAGAGGCTGGATGAGGAATAAACTCAGCAGGAAATGAGCAATTCTGCCATGTGTATGGTTTTGACTCTTAGCTCAGAAGATCAAATTAAAACAGATCCATGTGCACAGAAGCTTCAGATAGGTAACAAGGCAATACTGCTGTCTGCAGTATGAATGTGCCTTCCCAGAGTGAATCCCCAACCATGTGGCCATGTGCTTTCATGCTCGAGTCATGTCAATGGAATAAAGTAGGCTGTCCATTGCAAGCCACCCACAAGGCTTTGGATGGAATCAGAAGGGGTCTAGCCAAATCCCAATGGAAGAGCCTGGGGCTGGTATTACCCATCTAGCACTCTAGAGATCCTGACCTGGTACCCAGGCTGAGGTTGGTGGCCTCTACTGAATCACCATGGTTCACTGCTTCAGCTCCCTTCAATAAACAAAAGGGTTTTGTACAAATTGGTACTAAGCAGATGTTAGACAGAAATAGAACCTTAGCAATTAAGACCCAAGGTCTTTTCGAACTGGCAGTAACAAAGATATAGTCTTCGTGTTATACAAGAGATCCCCCAAAAGCCCAAGATTCAGCAGTCAAAGCATGGCTTTGAAAGACTTGGACTCAGGGAAATGGGTTTTCTGTCAACTTTAGTCATGGAATCTGAAGAGCCTGCGTGGTCACATCAGAGGAATACTTTGGAGGCTGCAGCGCCCACCCTCACGTCTGAAATGTGGCCAAAGACAAGCAATGATGCATGCGGTTTTCTATTTTTGCCGACCGCAGGCTGGTCTGACAAGGCTTCCTCCTCCCAGTCCTACTTCTCTAGTCTCGAATGCTTTCCCTGGCTGTATCACAAGCTTCCAGGCATTCAGTTCCAACTCTGGCCCTGAGCTCTGATGGCTCTATCTAGAGTGCCAGGTACTTGGCCTTGTACAAACCCAATGTGTCTCAAGTTAAACTGTCTTGTACTCTGTTCTTCTGGCTTCCCTGCAGCCAACACCCCGTTCCACAGGAGCAGTCTGAGTGTAGTCACTCTGGCTTCTGTGGAGTCCCACCAGAGCTTGCTGATTCAGGCTTGGGTTTGTCCTAAGGCTCTTCTGTCTGTGCCCTAGCACTTTCTTAGTGACGCTAGTCCTCCTTGCCCAGCCTACTGCATCCTTACTCTTGGCTTACCCAAGGCAGCCTCATACTGTAGCTAACATAAGGAGTTTTTTGTTTGTTTTTTTGAGACAGTGCCTCCTCATAGCCACACCTGACCTGGAACTCCCTATGTAGACCAGGCTGGCCTCACCTGTCTCTGTCTCCTGAGTTCTGACATTAAAGGCACTCACCACCATGTCCGGTTAACATAAGACTCAGAACCCTTAACCACTATTGCAGAGCCTGCAGAATCACTGCTAATCTCAAGAAAGGTATCTAAGGCTTTACTTCATCTCTCTTTGACCTAATGATCCTTCAAAGAAGTCTTACTCTCCCTTCCCCACCTGTAGTAAGTGCCATTTACTACTGTGCCTCCCCCAGCAGTGCCACTGTCAGGAACCCCCTTCCCATTGTTCTGTTGGTTACAATCCACATGAAGGTGCCTCCAGAATTTCAACTCATCTGTAGAAACTTCTGTGACTCTGACCTGCCAGGTTACTTCCTCTTCTCCATAAGAATTCATCCTCGGATGACAGGGAAGACATCTATTGTCATCCCTACTATTTCCACATACTGAGGTCCTCATGATCTTATAAATCACCAAAAACAGGATGTTAAACACCCAGCTTGCTGTAAATGCTTTTCCCTGAGTGATTCCTGTCTGATGTCAGTAGCACCTGTCACTGAGGGATATTTAATGTTCCAGTCTGTAGCCATACTTTACAGTTCAATGACAACCAAGCCCCATCATTGCTCTGTGCTTTTTCTAGCACCAGCAATTTAAAAACTTACCAGAGGGGGCAGAAGCACAGACAATCCCTAGATATCCTTACCTTACAGAACATGCAAAGCCCAGCAAAGCCCAGTGACTTGACCTTGGCCATACAGCAAATCAGAGGCATTGAGAAATACTCAGTCCCATGTATCTCTCAAAACACACATTTTACTCTTTGGTGGTGTTAATGCCTTAATATAAACTGAGACTTCTTGTACTTGGTGAACAGATTTAACCTTTAAACACTAGAGAATTATTTCTGTGTGATGATGTTTTCTCTGAGTATGAGCATTGGGGCTGTCTTCTCCAAGTAATGCCCCCCTCCCCCGGGGTGGGAAGAATGTCTTGTACCAACAACAGTACTAGCTGGGGCTGTCACTCAGCAACTGCACCTCCCCACATCATGAGGGGGAGCACAGCAAACACCCCAGCCACCAGCGAATTGACACCTACTGAGGAATCCACAGTGACAGGAATTAGCCATCAAAAAGGCAAATAACCCTGGTCATTTGTGGCTATTTGGAAAGTGTCTTAGTTAAGGTTTCAGAAAGGTGGTTTGGACACACATGAAGGAAGCAAAGTCAAGCTGTAGGAGGTTTCACTCCCTAGTCCTCTGCTTAGGCTCTCTCATATCTCAGGGCACACTGGGTCCTCTAAGCCAAATGCACCACCTGGATGGGACATGGGAATAGAGGAAGGAGCAGCAAGGGTACCAATAATACTTTTTATTATTAAGGACTGAAAACAAAGCCTGGGGTGATGGCAGGAACCTGGAAGTACTCTGATGAGCAGGCAGACATGTTTCCCTGGACAGTTCTTGGGCCTGTATGATTAGGAACAGAGTGCAAGGTGTGATTGTGCTGTAGACAGAAGATTGGAGGAGGTCACATGCAGAATAGGAAAACAGAGGCAGGGTGCGAAGAAGAAAGCACAGCACAAGAAAGACAAAGATGTCTAGAGACATAGGCTGGCCTGCATGTCCTTGTGAGGGAGGGGGACATGTGGTCCTTGGAGCATCTCTTCAGAAGCTCCAAACGTGGTGGATAGGATTCACATCTTGGCCTAACTCAGGCATACCTCCCATCCCTATGATCCTAAGGTTTCCTACAAAGGCAAACAAAATTCTTTGCCATTTCTTTTTGGATTTTTAACTACTTAGGGACAATTATGCTATTGAATACATTCGAAAATGATCTCCATTCTTCTAAGAGGCACAGTTTCGGGTTAGAGTCCTGGCAGTGGAGAAACTGTCTACATATTCCAATGTCTTTGCTGCCCCCAGCTATATCCTCAAAGGCTGGGTTGAGAAAACAAAAACCAAAGCACTGTCAATGCCTCAGCGTTTGGTGGAATGAATTCCAAATGCCAGCCCTCTTTATACAGACATTTCCTTGTTGGTTCATAATGGTTATGTAGTCAAAGGGGAGGAAATCGTCGGGGAGCACCCCGTGTGTCCCTTGCTGCTGCTTGTAGTGACAGTTGCTACCGAGAATCCGGATAGAAGCCGCCTGTGAGACTTCGGCTTTATTTTCCTGTGTTGTCTCTATTTTCAGATCCTACAAGCTGACCTCAAAGCTTCTGGAAGCAAGAAGCCCAGAATAAACAGATGGAAGCATGACCCTAGATGTGCCCTCTCCTGCCACCTCATCTAAAAATGGTGCAGAGCACTCTGATTTGACAGAAAAGAGGTAACCTCAAATGGGCTGATTCCAGAACAGACCTCATCCTTGGGTCAGGAGGCAATCAGGTTATGCTGGGTCATATTCAAATATTATTTCCAATTTGCACCTGTCGTAAAATAAAATTCAAGGCTCTTGACTGTGAAAGGTTCATAAAGTTAAAAAAATGATGTCAGTCACTACGGGAATAGTTCTTCTGTGTGGTCATCTGCAACTGGAGTAAACAACTACTGTTTCTGTAACACAACAGCAACGGGATCTCCCAAGAGGAAAGCCAAGACACTTGCTGACATTCTAGGAAGGGGATGTGCCAGGGCTCTCGCCTGCCAAGAGCTCCAGTTGTATTTCAGAACCTGATGGCCTCTACACAATGTTTCCAAAGAACTGCAGTAAACAGTACACTACAGGGATGTCTTCATAACCCTTGGTTAATGTGCTTCCACCACAGGACACTTTTATTATTAAGGAAGATATTTTGTTTTCCACAACCATTCATGGGATTAGCAACAATAAGCACAACCAAGACTCAAGTTTTGGGTCTAAATAAAGCATTGTGCAACCTGAAGGTTCGAAGAGGTGAGGCATATGCACACACACAGAACTCGTTTTCTGAGAGTGGGAAAAGAGGGAAACCAGGCAGAGGAGATGAGAGTACTGAAGGCTCAGACTTCTGGAATGCATCAGCTCCTCGGAGCCGTAACTGATAATCAGCTGAAAATGGAAGGACATGCTGGTCCTACATACTCCCTGGAGTCCCAAAAATGCCTTTTTGCACTAATACTCCACACAGGAACATCTGAAAGATGAATGGGTATGGCCCCCTCCCCCAATACTGTGCTCACACTGGAAATGGGTGGCAATGAAGAGAGACCAGAAGGACATGAACCAGGAGTCCAAGCCAGTGACATGGTGCAGAAGCTGGAGGGTCTGAGGTGACCATGCAGGGAAAGACTCTCATTACCAGACATCTGAATGAGTAGTGAAGACTCCATCCTTGAGGGACTCAGGAGACATCCAGCGCACAGGCAGTAACCCCTTCCCTCCTTTCCGGTAGTAGTCTGTCTCATAGATGTCTCGTGTCATACCAAAATCTGGAAGTTGCAGAGAAGACCGTTAGGCGCTGGAGCAGCTCTTGAAGCAGAGGCAACAGTACAGCTGCTGCCCTAGCACAGGACCCTTGGCCCTGTCCATGTTCAACTGGGACACAGCCATACTCCACTTTGAGGAGGCTCAGTATTACAGTTTGAAATTTTGTAAGGCAGAAATATTAAGACCTGATTAGTCACTTGACAGGCATACAAGAAATCTCTAGTCTTATACATTAAAATCTAGTTCCTTTAAGAAGTTTATTCTCTTATTATACTTAAAATTGGAGGTAGCTTGCAAATTACTGAGTTCCATGATTTATGAAGAAAATATACACTTCATAGACCAAGAATTAGTGACATGTTTTTAAAGCCTAATCAAATACACAGGAGAGTGTAGACCTCATTTACTTGGTAGCATGGCCCTATTGCCACGGAAAAGGCCTTTCACCACTCAGTAAGGGGGGATCTATCCGGAGTAACAATTCACAAAGATGAAAGTACATGGTGAGAGGTTTAAGAGATGCTATTTACCAGGCTCCAAGGCTATTACCCAACACTCGTATTTAACATAATACTCCCACTCCTTTTAAAACATTTCTTCCACCGGGGTTCACATCCCAGCATCCACATGGCAGCTAACAACTGTCTGTAACTCCAGTTATAAGGGATCTGACAGCCTTTTCTGTCCTCTGAGGGCACTGCATGACACAGGTGCACTTACCTACATGCAGGCAATATATGCTACATATAAAATAAAAATAATAAATAAAATATTTAAAAATTTTTCTTCCATTTTCTACATCTCCTGAAGGCGTCACATAATTATACTTGATGGCAGGCTTATTTTATAATCCCAGATTATCTTCATCAGATTTTGATTTTCCACTCAATCACATAACCTTTTTTTCACATAAACTCTTCTATCCTCCTTTCCAGAAGAAAGAGTGCTCTACTTAAAAAAAAAAAAAAAAAAAAAAAGCCCTTTCATATCTTTAACTCAAACAGGTAAGATTACAAAGGTGAAGCAAACCCACAGAGAATGACATTTCTTGGATGTTAGTCAACAGTATTGACTTCTTCTATGATAAGAGCTATCAAACTGCCCCTGGTGAAGTGACGGGCCTGTCTGTAATGCACAAACAGCAGGCACTGGGAGAATAGTGAGAAACCCTCAGGAAGAGTCAAAATGAAGTACTCAAGCCCAAGTCTCCTCTCTGAATTAATCCTGTGACATGCAAATGAGAGGCTCAGCCTGCACTCACATAAAATGGGAGGGAAAGAATTCCAGAGAACATCTCTCTTCCTAAACACAAAAGAAAAAATTTAATTCTATAATTCTAGAAAGAAAAATAACAATGATAAAACATTGTTATAAATATGCCACATGGTTAACTGGCAAAGGCAGTCCTTATAGAGTTTAAAATATCGAGGAGCACAAAAAAGCATTTCTCATGAAGTAGGACAAAAGTAGCCTTAACTGAGTTTCGGCCTGTGTGGGAAGGGTAGACAGGAGAACAGGAAGAGGACATAGGCACAGGCTTACTTCCTGTAGCACCCAATTCTTCCTACCTCTTGGCTTTGTCCTGTCATTACTTTCATTTCAGAGGTGGAGACGCCAAGGCTTTCCAGGCCTTTTAGGCATTAGTGACAGGGCAGGGACTGAAGCTTAGGCCAACATGGTGGTCTCCTCTGCACTAAGGGGGAGGAGCTACAATCTGGGTCCCCATGAGAAAGTGAAGGATGGGAAGCAGGAAGTATCACAAAGGCTGGAAAGGGGCATGGCTCTGGTCTGGGAATGCTGAGGCAGGACAGCTTCTTGAGGGATAAATGGGTTCCAAGGGCCGTAAATAGGAGTATGCCTGAAGGGCTGAGCCCAAGAACAAGACATGCCTTGAGTAACTCCAATGACTGAGTAATGTCTGCTCAACAATATAGCTGCATGCCAACACCCCTAGCCCCTACAAGTAAATGCAAAATGAAGATACACAGATAGCCCCACTCTGGAAACCTCGCTAGATGGACTACTCACTTCTCACTAAGTGGCCAAAAACATTTCATTCAAAAATCACCACTAAGGGAAAACAAAGTATTGCTAAAGGAAAGCAAATGTTTCCTGAGCACATGGTTCAAGAGGCAGTCAAAGGTTAACAGCAAACAGTTTTTTGCATGTTGTCCCCTTGTTCTATCTCTGAATGATTATTTGGCAATGTTGAACAGTCGCTCTGTCCTATCACAGTGGGATAGTTAAGGTCCTGGTAAGATCAGGTAGTTTCCTGAGCAACCCTAATGCTATGTGCATTTTTGTTAGGTAGATTAAAAGACCAAAGCAGACACATGCACAGGAAGGCTGGAAGAGTTTCTTTCTAACCAGAGATCAGAAACGTAATCCAGCCATTAAAAAAAATTTTCTTTGGTCTTTCTGAGACAGGGTCTCCCTGTAGCTCCTGCTGACCTGGAACTCCCTACGTAGACCAGGCTGGTCTCTATCTCACAGAGATCCACCTGCCTCTCCGTCCCTAGTGTTGTGATTAAAGGTGTGCACTACCATGCCCAGCTCCAGTCCATGCTTTTATATTGCAGTGAGTGGTGGCAATAAGGGGTCTAACAGGAAGCTAGAAAGCTAAGATCAGGGCAGGAAGTGATATGCTAGAGGGGATCAAGAACTTGATGCTACCATTGGGGGATGTAGCTCAGCAATACAGTACTTGACCAGCATGCATAAGGTCCTGGGTTCAATCCCTAGTAGCAGCAAAAACAAATACAAGAAGATCTTGGAGCCGACCCGCCAGCTTACTGGGTTCAGACCCACTAAGTAGTGATCTTCCCTCACCAGAGAGACTGGCATGCATGCCTTATCACTGGCCCTGGTCTGTGGAAGGGCTTCATCTTAGGGACGCTTCACCTTATAGGAACTTCTATGGGCCAGTCCAGGGACAATGCTCCTTATAAACCAGGGAAATTGAGGGGAGACTGCATAATGACTTATTGTCAAGTCGAAATCACTTGAGGATGCTGTTCTGATCATTTCCGTAACCAATGCTCTACATAGCTGACCTTAGGAACCATGGTTCCTACCTGGATTGCCATGTCAAGATGCTCTTAGATCAGAACCAGGAACCAGAGACAATAATACCAACTACACACCTTTGCACTAAAGAACAAGTCTTTGAGCTTGCGTAACATTAGAAAACCTCTCCAGCAGCAGGCTAGTATCCACAGGGCCCCTAAGATACCTGTGAGTTTAGTTTTTTTTTTTTTTCCCCACTCTGGAAAGTAAAGGACACACCTCCAATTTTGACGGTGAAATCTTCAGCTACCATGCAATTCCGCGCAGCAAGATCTCTGTGGACAAACTTGTTCGCATTGAGGTATGCCATGCCATCTGCAATCTCTCCAGCCATCTGGATCATCTTGCTTAAACTTGGAGGTGATAGGACTGGATTATTCTGTTGCAGATTAAAAAAAAAAAAAAAACTCACATGAGAACTTTGGAAGTTTTTTCTATTTCTAGGGTTATTCTAGAGGGTACGCATGCATGCTTGATTGAGTGGCACAGGTCATCCTGCAGGAAGTCAAGTCTCGCTCAGAAGGAACATTTCACTGCTAAGACCCTGGCCAGCATCTGCTGATGGTAAGGGTCACATACCTTGTTCCCTGATCACATCCCACAGGGCTGCTGTGGAAACAACAATCGGCACTCCTTGGAACCAGCATTTTCTTTTTTCTTCTTTTTCCATTTTTGTATGTATGTTTGCATATATGTGGGCACACGTGTGTGCACATGCATGTGGAGGACCAAGGCTGATATTGGAAATCAATCTCTTACATCTTATTCATCTGGGCAGAGTCTTGCAATCAATCCCAGATCTGGCCGATATGGCTTTGTCTTGCTAGGCAGCTTGCTCTGGGGCTGCTTTGTCTCAGACTTTCAAGGCTAGAATTTCAGGTGGGCTGCCATGCCTACCCAAAATTTATGTGGGCTCTGGGAAGCCAAACTCCATACCTCAAGCTTGTGGGGCAAATGTTTAACACTAAGCCATCTCCTCAGCCCCAGGACAAACATTATTTAAAGCGAATGGAGCAGTTTTTGATTACTAAGGATTCAGTTACTTAGATTCCTACTAGTTTATATGTTCCTTTGACTTTCATAATCAAAGTGCAGGTAAAAGGAAGGGCAAGAACATTCGTACAAAGGCCAAATGGAACAAATATGTATTTCCTAAATAGGCTCTGCTAGGGTTTGTTTATCTTCTTTCTCTTCTGCTTTCTTCTAAGGCACAGAGATATGAAGAGTAACGTCTTCATCTTGGATTACTATTTTCTCTGCACACCTAGGAAAACTGAAGTTCATCAGGAGTTCACCTTGGAGGGGACCAAGGTCAGTCACCAGCAGCATGGGCAAATGTCCCACTTGCAGAGGAGAGCAAAATACTGCCTTTGGTATCAAAAAGAATTACCCCTGGCACTAATATCTATTTGGAAAAAAGCTTATAGAAAATATATGCCCAAGGAGCCGATGAGACACCTAAAAAGACTGATGACTTAAGGTCAATTCCCAGGACCTACATGGTAGAAAGAGGGAGCCATCTCCTGCAAGTTGTCCTCTGACCTCCATACACACGTATATGTGCACATACACATACACAGTAATACACAACACACAGATAAATGTAAAAAACTATGCCCAAGGCTCTCTGACACTTCACCCCCACATGTAAAACCAATCACGATTCCACAGTTTAGACACTTAACTAGCTTGTGTGTGGGTACCAATATATAAGATTGTGACTTGGTTTCCCTAACTACAAAGCATCTCATATAATATTGCAAAGCTATCTCATTTTGCTAAGTCCCACACATCACCTTCCTAACTCATTTTGTGAGCCACAGGAAGTGCATGACAGGGCTCTGGAATCATACCACCCAGGTTCTTCCATACAGTCCCCACACAGCCTGGCCATGATGAACACTCAGTGAATGCTGGCTCTTGCCCAGGGAAAGGCTAAGTTCCCATTGAAAGCTAGTATCTAGGTATCAGGTAACAGCTCTCCAAGCACCTCTAGGTGGGCTGTCCAGATTCCATGATAGCTTTTATTGAGTTCTTTACTATTATTTTGATTCAGGGTCTCCTATAATCCAGGCTAGAGTGCTAGGATTACAGGTGTGTGCCACCATATCCAGTTTATGATGTGCTGGGGAGCAAACCCACCCAGGGCTTCAGGCATGCTAGGAAAGCCCTCTACCAACTGAGCTACAATCGCAGCCCATGTATGGGTTCTGAAGAGGATGCCAAGAGTGACTCTGGTGATTTAAATGTTCATCACTCAGCTTTCTGGGGGATGTCACTGGAGAAAGCCAAAATCACCATTTTTTTTTTTTTTACATAGATGTCTTCTATTTTTTTAAATTCACTTCTATTTTATGTGTATGGATGTCTTGTCTGTATGTAAGTAAGTGTACCATGTGTGTGCAATGCCTGTGAAAGCCAGAAGAGGGTATCAGATCCCCTGAAACTGGAGTTATGGAGAATTGTTAGCCACTATTTGGGTACTGGGAACTGATCCTGGGTGCAGAGGTGGAAGAGCAGCCAGTGTTCTCAAGTGCTAAGTCATCTTTCCAGCCTTTACGGATATCTTCTTTAGCTGTATTTTTTTCCTCTTAGAATTTAACATTGTCTTTTAATCTCTTTAGGGCTTTAAATGTGCACAATACATACACTAGGACCTATGTAAGTGGTGTAAGGTTTAGGCTCCTAGCACATACTAGAGCATGAATGAAGTATGAATGAAGTTCACTGGGAAGCTGTCACTCATCATGTGAAAAACAATAAAAAAGAGGGGCTTAATTTTATGCAGAAAGAGTTGATTTTGTCAGTCCATAGTGTAATATTACCATTCTTTCATTTATCTCAAGGGAGTAAAAGTCTTTTATTTGGTTAGAGCTACTTAAGACAAGCACACATAAGCATCTACACTTAGTGAAACAAATCAGCAAGTTGCAATGGGGGAGGGGTGGAACAATGAAACTAGGATACATATTTGTATACATTTCTATTTTGGCATGAGTTAGACAAAATAAAAAAAATCTGATGAATTTAAAGCTAACTATTATATCTGAAAAGGACTACGGTAATCACTGAATTATCCTGTCTGTCTCTTAGACTCTTATCTGTCTCTTATACATGAAGAAACAGAGGTCCTGAAATGTCTAGCTGCTGTCTTCAGGATTGCAGGTAACCAATGGCAGGGTCAGTTCTGAGACTACAAGTTCTAGTTTTTATTCTGTGCCTGAATTAAGGATGAAAGGGATAAGCAGCACTTGCAACTCTTCAGAGGTGCCTCAAAGGAGACAGACAGACTTCCAGTCACCCATTTGATCAAGCTTTTCTCCTTCAAGCAGACTGTGGATATAAGGGGCCAGGAAAAGGCTCCATTATGCATCCAGGGACTAATGCTGACAGGAATAGAGGCTAGAAGAGTTATCAACTGTTGGTTCAAAGCCTTGGTCCCACACATAGCCTTGTGGCTCTCCCTAAAGTCCCAAACCATGTGCTGTATGTAATGAGGTCATTTGTGAACAGATGCTTGGAACTAAAATGAAGGAACTTTCACTTGGGAGATGATTAAGCTAAAGATTAAAAGAAAACAAAACCTTAAATAGAGCATGGGAACAAAAGACAAAAGGGGTGTGGAAAGAGAGAAGTTTCCCCTTCTAGAAAATTTCAGACAGACAAGCTTCTAATTCACAAGCACAAAGTCAAGGATCCACTGAGGCAGCACAATAAAGGCAGCTGGTCCTGGTATTATTTCTTAGCATTTGTCTATGAGTTATTATTAGAATTAATGACTTATAAGTCAGACTTCCATATGCTAAAGAGTTGACTCAGGATTCAGCCCAAAATGCAGGTGCAAAGTTTGAGAAGTCTCTAAAGCAGACTTCACTGCCAGTGCAAAGCAAGAACAGTGTGTCTACATGTGTGTACCTGTGTATGTGTGTGTGTGTGTGTGTGTTGGGCTCCTGAGCAAACAACTGTCTTGTGTTCAGACTGAGTGGGAAATCATCCTAGCAGTTTTCTAGGGGCAAGGGCCAGGGCCCCACCAGTCTAATAATGAACTCTATCTAAGTGTTTACTGAAAGGATTCTTGCCACAAGTATGGCCCTGGGATGAACGCTACAGGGAACAGGGTTTGAAGAAGGGGCACACTCAGAGAACAATGGCAAGAGAAAATGCACGTCTGGTAGAGAGTCAAGTACATCAGGAAGTTTGTAGAGGAGGCTAGCCCTGGCAACTGGGCACTGATGTGTCCTGGGGGTGGGTGTGTGGTTTTATGAGATGCTGGGGTAGAAGGAATGCAGAAACAAGGCCACAGAGGTACTGGAATGGACTAGGTGGTATCTGAAGAGAGGCAGGGCCTTCTCACAAACATCCCAATCTGCCTGTGGTTGGGAAACCTTTTACCTAAGGGATCCACAACCAAGTATGCAGCAAGACACTCAAGACCAAGAAGTAAATTAATTGTAAGACACATTTTCCCAAGGGAGCTCCTGGAGGAAATGGAATAGGCAAGATAACATGGTGGGAATTAAAACTGACCTCTATTTCTGGCCTCAGAGACCTGAGATAACTTTTGAGATCCCCGCGTGTCATTAGTTCCATGATGACCAGGGTAGGCTGGCCCTGGGACACCACGCCCAGCAACCGCACCTGGGAGGAATCAAAAAGAGAAGGACTCAGTGGGTGGATGGGGGAGGTTTTCCATACAACCCATACTATCTGGAACTATGTGGTGTTGGAGCCTGATGGTTAGAAGCAGAGCTGTTGTGAGAGGGGCATGGTCACCACCACAGGGGTCTTAGGTAATAGGCAATGGGTAACTAACTATCCATGGGACGGACAGAAGATGAGGCACCAAGCCCAAAGATGTGGCCACAGGTACACAAGGTAGCTCTGGGGATGCTTCCTCTCTATGTCCAATCTTGGCTTTTCAGGGACTTTCCCTTACCACATGGTGACAGTTGAACTCCTTCATCACTGAGGCCTCGTTCAGAAACTCTATCCTTTCACGCATGCTTGCAGCCTCATTTACTGTCTTGATGGCTACCCTGGTTTCAGGTTCGTCCTTGACCACACCCTTGGCCACTCCTTCATAGACCATCCCAAAGGATCCCTGCCCAAGCTCCCGGTTCATGGTGATCTTCTCTCGAGCAACCTCCCATTCATCAGGCACGTACACTAGAAAGTAAGGGACAGAGACAATGATTGAAAGATACATGGAAATCAGCCGTTAGACAAGACAGAGTGTTTAGGGGAAATGTCAGACTAGAGAATACAGGATGTTGTTTCCTAAAACCCACAATGTATCAGGACACAAAGGCATGACTTACTCTTAATAAATGTCCCTACATGCTTCAGATTTGAGTAGGACTGTACACTAAAGGATTCTGAGACACTTTGAGGGTAATACCAACATAGAAGAACCAGAAGGAAACAAAGACACCTAGGATAGGAAACAAAGCAGTGGTTCCTTTTTTCTCCCTTCCTCAGGAGGGGAAAAAAGGAAATTAACTGTAAGAGATATAGAAGGTAAGATGGGGAATTTTTTTTTTTTTTTTTAAATTTTTTATTCTGGATGAAGGAAGGGCCAGAGTGTGTGTGAGAGGTGCCAAGTGCCTTCTACATGGATTTCTAGCCTGCATGATCTAACAGGGCACCCAGGTCCTGCAGGGTTACTGAGCAGCTGCATGTGGCTAGTCTAACTGAGATGTGCTATAAGTATAAAATATACATTAGATTTCAAAGACCTGGTTTTGTTTTAAAGTAAAAAAAGTTGGTAAATTTTATATTAAAACTGAATTTTGGATGTATTAGGTTAAATATCAGCTTTGCTTTACATTTTAAAATTTATGATTACTAGCTGAATGTGGTATAACATGCCTGTAATCCTATCCCAGGACTTGGGGGGCTGAGGTTAGGAGAGGAAGCTTGTGAGTTGAGGCCAGCCTGGACTACATAATAAGACCAATGGCCACTGCACTCATGGGACCCTTCTGGCTCATGCACACTGCTCTGCTCCTTCCACAAGCATGTCCAACAAACCTGAGACTGAGACTGAGACTGAGAAATGTGGTAAGTCAAAACAGAAGACAGAGACATTAAAGAAAAATTCTCTGCTTTCAAAAGAAACAACTGAATAGGAAAAGCAAGTGGGTAAACTGTAACTAATATTCACACTATGTTCCATAAACACTGTCTTATACTGGGTATGGTGGTGCATGTCTTTAAACCCAGCACTCGGGAGGCAGAGGTAGGTGGATCTCTGCGAGTTTGAGGCCAACCTGGTCTACATAGTGAGTTCCAGGCCAGCTGGGGCTACAGGTAGACCCTGTCTCAAAAAGACCAAAAATCAAAAACAAGAACAAAATTACTGTCTTATTTCACTTTTAGAAAAGATTTTATTTATTTTTAATGTGTATGAGTGTTTTGCTTGAATATATGCATGTGCATTGAGTGAGTGAGTGCCTGGTGCCTGAGGAGGCCAGAAGAAGGCTTGAGATCCCTTGGAACTGGAGTTATGGACAGGTATTAGCTGCCAAGCAGGTGCTGGGAACTGAACCTTGGTCTTCTAGAAGAACAACCAGTGCTCTTAACTGCTGAGCCCTCTCTATATCCCTTATTTTATTTCTTTTAGCTGTTTAACTTTTTAAGATGCAAAGAGGCTGGATCAAGTTTTAAATGACTGCACTGCCCTTCCATATGAAAGAGTTGTGAACTACTGACAATGAAGGTTGTGCCCACCTCTCTCATGGGTCGGTCTGCCTGGCTGGCAAGGAAAAGAATGTGCATGTTGCTGAATGAAGAAGCTAATGGGAAGTGGAAAAATCTAGAGTAAACTTGAAGATAGTTAAAGGTGTAAAATGTAGTTTAATCAGAGTATTGCTTTTTTATTCAAATGATTTTAGTTACTACAATGCTCAAATTTTGAAACTATGCAAATAAGTTATAAAACCTAACAAAACAAAACAAGCAGAAAAACCAAACAAAACCCAAGGGCTGGGGATGTAGATCAGTGGCAGAGCATTTGCCTACCATGAACAAGGCCCAGGATCCCCAGACTCCCCAGCAGAGGGGACTACTGGACCTCTAGAGAGGGACAGAAGCAACTGAGCTCTGGGACTGAGGGGCCTCGGTGGTAACCTCAGGGCTTTGGCCTGGATTCTGTAACCTCAGGGGCTTAACCCTACATGGTAAAGGGCTGGGAGACACCACAGTAAATACAGAGCCTAAGCAAAATTCCTTCTCTAGCTTCCATTTTTGGTTATGTTTGATATAGTTTGAGAAAAATAAATAAATGGATAGTTCTAGGAAGAAAAGAAGGAAAGAAAGAAGGGAGGAAAACAAACAAAAACCAAACAGGCTTTATCCTACATCTTCAGCAGGTAGAGTAAAAACTGAAGATCAATCTAGTCCATAAAATCTATAGAAAACTGTCCATTATAACCAAAATCTAATGCTGTGTGTTGAAAAAATGCTGTCTGATGGGGCACAACCTGGTAGGAAGGAGATTCTGGCTCAGAGACTGAGACTGGGCGAAAAATCAGGACTGTGTTTGCTTTTATGTTTTCAGATGCTGAGCTGGGGCCTAGGGCTGGATGTGAGAGACCAGAGGGGTCACCACTGTAATAGAATAGCCTCACATTATAAGCACTTACCTTAAGTTTTCAGGGAAAGATGTTTATTATAAATTAGGCCTAGAAGATCACAATGATTTACATTTTGAGGAACGTCACCTACATATTTATCTATTTATTCATTTTTCTTATTGACTGATTTTGTCAATGTCTCACTATATAGTCCAGACTTCCCTTGAACTTGCTATAGAGCCCAGGCTGGCCTTGAATTTACAATCCTGCCTTAGTCTCCCCCTGTGCTGGGATTTACAAGTATATTCCAAAACACCTGGCTCCCAGACACATTTCTTAATTTCTTAGTCCATATGTTTCTACAAGTTTCTCAAATGGAACTCTGCTCTCCGTGGGGCTCAGGCAGCTTGCATCCATGAAGAGGCTAAGCTTGCTTAGGGAGGGTACAGCAGATCAGGTCTTCACAACATACCTCAGAAAAGATAGGGCCACTGTCTCCATCCATTTATCTTCAAGGATCCAGGCTAGCTTTTAATGAGAATTAATCATGTAGCTTGCCATAGAACATGGAGCTAAAACCAATCAAATCAATTTCTGGGGAGGTCCCTGGAGTTAATGCCCTCAAGCTTTTTCTCTAAATTCAATCTAGTAGCTAACTTCAACCAGCACACTTAAGCTCCACCAGCCAAAAGCTGTTCATAAGTGCTACAATGTTATCAGTGCTTTCCTGTAGGGGATTCTCAGTGTACCCCTGAGAACAGCGACATGCAGATTTAACTCTGGGAGAAAGAAAATTTTAAGCACCTTTGAGCTGCAATGGCACTTTGTTGCCCCTTGAGGAAAATGGCTGTGTGACACTTGTGAGATGGCTGAATAAGTTAAGACAGAAGTTTCCACCTGTTGGCCTAGGTGGCAGTGTTTGTCCCTGCTTTGTTCTGAAGAACTATATACACTATGCAAAGAAACAAAATGTGATTTCAATCATAATCACAGGCTCTGATTTTGCTACATTAATTCTAAACTGTAAACTTTTTGGACATAGCATAGTTAAAGATGCAAATGCCAAAGTTGGTTCTTTGGAAGCAGAGCAGATTCTCTTATACACTCCTACGCAAGTGGCCTTGAACTGCTCCTATCAATCAATTTTAATGGGGGGTGACTCCTTAATCTAATCTCAATCTCTCTCTCTCTCTCTCTCTCTCTCTCTCTCTCTCTCTCTCAAAAAAAAACTCCTCAATTTCCCATTTCCCTCCTCCTCTTCTCCCTCCCTATACACATTTGTGTATGTGTGAGTGGACAGAGGACAACCTTAGGTGTCATCCTCAGGAGCTTGTTTTCTTCACTACTGGGGATAGAACCCAGGACTTTGTCCATATAAAGCAAGTACTCTACCCACTGATCTACATCCTTAGCACTGCTCTGCTTTGTTTTATTGAGGCAGGGTATCTCACTGGACTGGAACTCATCTTTTGGGCTAGTTGACCATCAAGTCCCAGGGATCCGGTCTTTGCCTTCTTAGCACTGGAATTATAACCATACACTACCATGTGTGAGTTTTGGGGCTCAAACTCAGATTCTCAGGCTTGCATGGGGAAGCACTTTACTGAGCTGCCTTCCCAGTTCCTTTTTGTTGTTTTATAAAAGTGTTTATTAAAGTCTAGCTAGCATGGCTGCACCTCTGGCTATATAGCAAGCAACTTAGGAGACTGAGGCAGCATGGAAGGTTTGCTTGAGCTGAGGTTGAGGCTAGCCTCTACAACGTCATAGGATTTAGAGAAAGACCTTGTCTCAAAAATACAAAACAATACTGCTCCTGTTGGCATACACAAGGCTTACCTAGATTCTTGTTTTGTTTTTTTTTTTTTTGCAATGTCATAGGATTTAGAGGAAAACCTTGTCTCAAAAATACAAAACAATACTGTTCCTGTTGGCATACACAAGGCTTACCTAGCTTCTTGATTTTTTTTGCTTACTTATTTGTTTTTGGTGATGCTGAGGAGGGAACCCAGGGTCTTATACATGCTAGACCTTTTACCACTAAGCTACATACATACCCAGCCCTGCTTTGAAAAAATATTTATTTAAAAATATTCATTAAAATTATTTTGAAAAAAAATTTATTTATTTTATGTGTATGAGTGTTTTGTCTGCATGTATGCAAGTGCACCACATGTATGCAGTGCTCATAGATGCCAGAAGAGGGTGTTGAATCCCCTGAAACTAGAGTCACATCTTTGTGGGGGCTGGTAACTGAACTCAGGTCTTTTGTAAGAATAGCTAGTACTCTTAACCACTGAGCCATCTCTTCAGCCTTTGCTTTTTTCTTTTTTTTTTTTTTTAAAAAGGAGAAAGATGGTCTCCATTACACTTTGAAGTGTGGTGTGCATCCTTCTGGAATAGTTTCTATATAGTACAGACATATACACGCACGCCTATTAAAAAAATAACGTTGGGAGACCTTGTTGTAAACAGGAACAATGTCCTCATTTTTCTGCTCCTCATGCCCTTTTGGAAGAGGCTGTTTTTGACTGGCTTTACTATAAACATAATTTGGCTAGAAATGATTAAAGAAACCATAGTAAAACCATACATATTTACATAGTGCCTTTAAATTACTAAAGCATTTCCCTGTGTTTTCTCATTTGATTAGGACAATCAATTAGAGCACTCATGACTCTTTATTTTGTATCTCTTGCACACCTACTTGCACTCCTGAAGCAAAAAGGCAGTAAATACATGCTTTTCTAAGCACACTCCACCAAGGTCACACTTATTCATTTCATGGGCCTGGTCCAGCCCCTCAGGTGGCAGACTTCCTTACCTGTCCCTGTGACCCGAGTCCTTTTAGACATCACATGGTCAACAGGATGCAGCAAGAGATTCTCATGCTGGGGATGCGTTCTCATCCTGACTTCCCCACTGCTCAACTGTGTGACTCTGAGCAAGTCCCTTCTTACTGTTTCTTTCTTCACCAGCATCAGATGGGCATACGGGATCCCACTTTGCAGGGGATGCATTTTGAAAAGGCTCCCAATGTAAGGATATTAGCATTATACGAACCAGTTTTATGCCTCCCTGATCTGACAACTAAAAAGTCAGTATTTAAGTACTAGCAAAAAAAAAAAAGAAGACAGCAAAGGAAGCGAAAGGAGAAATAACCACTAAGTACAACTCAGCTTCCAAGCCAGACCTTCTGAGTCAGTTAACTAAATGACCTTCATTAGGTACCCCACAGGGAATATGGATGAGGTTTGAGGCTTGTCAGGCGAGAATGGCAGAGGGGATTTTTCCAAGATCACACAAAGCCACACAGCCTTAAGAGGGCTGGAACCAGACTCCTAGCTGAAGCTCACTCAGGGCTCTGCAGCACATCCTCTGATTAGATGTTAGCAATTAAAAACACTTCTTTCATTCTGGGATAAAATTTCAAGCAAGTAAGCAAACTGATTACTGGTCTGGCCACATTCATCTCTGGAACCTGGTTTTCCCAGGGGCATCTTATGGAGTCATAGAATTTATGACAGTCACTGAATTTCTAAGAATATTACTAAAAGACTGAAAAATGTTATCAAAGATCATAGGATAAAGGTGCTTCAAAATTATGCAAAGCTTTCTCTGCTTAGCAACACCCTGAAAACTCCCATACCCAACCCCCTAACCACCAATGTGACCATGGCTGGGACTCTTACCATCGGCTGCACTGAAATATTCTGGGTTCACAGAGGCATACAGCACCCCATTCCCCAATCTGCTGTTATTTCTGTCAAAAAAGATGAAATTCAGGTCAACAAACCCCATCTCTATACATTTCTGTGAACACTTTCATCTTTGTTGCATCCATTTTGTTGGTTTGTTTCATGAAGTATCTTGAGAAAGGGACTGAAGCATGCTCCCTGCCAATGAGACTCTTGTCTGCAGTCCTCATTCAGCCCTAGCAGACCAGGAGACATTTGAGGACAAGTCTCTTGGCTTCTTCGGTGGCCCCAGATTAGAGCTTTTTAAGAAACATTTGTTTCTTTGCTTCACTGGAAATAACAAGGCTTATTTGATTGGGAGGGCTAAGCCGGAATGCCTGGAGGAGCTCTCAGGGAGCCAACAGTCTGTGTGCCAGAACAGCCAGTAAGGGGAAGATGGGTACTGAAGAAAAAGTGGCTGGGTTTTTTTTTTTTTTTTTTTTAACCTGGGTGTTGCGGGTTCTCCTCAGGCCAGCTGTGAAGACCCTGACCTGGATCGGGTCCCCTGC